AATCAATCAATCAATCAATCAGTCAGTCAGTCAGTCAGTCAGTCAGTCAGTCAGTCAGTCAGTCAAATAATCAATCAATCAGTCAATCAATCAATCCGGTCAGTCAGTCAGTCAGTCAGTCAGTCCGTCCATCCGTCAGTCAATCAATCAATCAATCAATCAATCCGGTCAGTCAGCCAGTCAGTCAGTCCATCAATCAATCAATCAATCAATCAATCAATCAATCAATCAATCAATTCATTGATCAGTTGACCTCATTTGACCTGCTTCATCTTCGTTTCAGATCACGTCTGCTCTCGCGACCAATCTCCCTTCGCTCTCCTCCTCCACCATCCAGCTGCTCGGCAGTCAGAGCGTGGGCCTGACGGAGGCTCAGATAAGCTCCGCCTCCGCTGATGTTATCAAGGGCGCGCTGTCGACTCTCAGCGCCGTCGAAGGCTGGAATCAGGGCCAAGCTAACGCAGTTATACAGACTCTCATTCAGTCCGACTTTCCAGTGAGTCTAAATAACACTTTCAGCTGTATTTTCCCTACATGCTACACCGAACCCTACACTGATTGCACAATGCACTGCACACTAGTCCCTACACATTAAACCCAGTGCTCAGTTTTGAGCCCTTCAGAGGTGGATTTATCTCCTTTGGAATGCAGCAAAGGTTCAGTTGCCTGTAAAAGACCTTGATTAGTTGCTTCAGGTGTGTTTGATTAGAGTTGGAGCTGAACTCAACCGGACAGAAAACCTCTGCTGTACACTACACTGCAACAGCTAAAATAAAACAAAATATAAAACACATTTTATTTCAGTTAGTTGCGAAGACAACATTTCTTATTTTCATTTAGCTTAAGTATTAAACGCTATACACAACAAAATTGCTAAAAGTTTAACCTCTTAACTGTTACCCCCCCCCTTTTTGAACATAGACTTGAAAGTGCACTATTCAAACTTAAATCGTTATAATTCAAAATCAACGCTTTTGAATACAGACCTAAGTTTGGTCTCTTTTTAAAGAAGACAATCAGCAGATTATTGCAGTGAATTTCAAAAAATGAAAGTAAAAAAAGTTATAGAAGTTTAAATTTAGTGTAAAGAAATTGTACTGTACTATTTTTATTTCATTTTATATAAAATAAATATTTTACAAAGTAGGTTTTAATCCAAATTTGGCATAAAATTAAAGCCATATGTTTTAATAAGTTGTGTTCCAAATTTGAAAATAAATTGAGTTTACTATGAAATTTTGTTTAGGTGTTATACCACAAAGAGCCACCAGGTGCAATCCAAGACCAATTGAATTTTTTTATGCATTTTTCTGTCACAGATGTCTAAATTTCTCTCTCAGTATTACTCCTATCACAAAATAACCACCAATCTTGAGACTCAGACCTTTCCGACGATATGTATTTTGTCAAGATTATAAAAAGTTTTTATTCCAAAAGACCATAATACATTTTGTAATATGACACCCCACACTAAGGGGGAGGAGCCCTCTAAACGATTTTAAGGTCCATATCTATGGTAACGCAATGTCCGATTTCAAGACGGTTTTCACAGGATGAATTTTGAGATTTTAAGATTTCAAATTATATGTAATTTATGATGATTACTAAAACGTGATAGGAAAAATGGAAACGAATAGAATTTCTGTGACAAAGGTCAGAGCTCCTGTTATGGTGTATATGTTTTGAGGTGCACTCTTGTCATAAATTAAGCTATTACTGCTCCTACATAATTTTTAACAACAAACAGTGGTAAAATATCTATGTAGGAGTCTTAGATCTTTCCAACGATATATAGTTTGTCATGATTAGATTAGGATTTAATAGTAATATATTGAAGAAAACTTGACAGTTAAGGGGTTAACTAAAATTACAATGAAAATGGAAAATATAAAAACTAGTTCAAATTATTAATAGAAGCTATAATACTAATGAAAGATAAAATAAAACCGCTAAACTGAAAAAGATGCGATGATCTTCGGGGTGTTTTTCAGATCAACACCGGCTCTTCTCTGCTGTCTCTCGGGACGCTCGTCAAGGGCGTTCCAGCGGAAACCATCTCCAGCATTGAATCCTCAGAGCTCCTGGCCATATCCAGCAATCCCACGTTCATCAGCAACATCCTCTCAGCGCCAGAAATCCTGCAGCTGGTTTACGTCATGAAGGTACCGAGCGCTCAGATGTGTTTAATCACCTCTACATCTCGAACCCTCTCTCAGATTCTCTCATCCTCTTCCTCCTCAGATCGCATCCATAGATGAAACTAAAGTCATCGAGAACGTTCCGGATGCATTGGCTGGCTCCATCCCGCGCCTCTTGTTGATCCCTCAGGAGTCTGTGAACGTCACCCTCATCAACCTCAAGCTCTGGAAACAGGAGCAGGTGCTGACATTTCTCCGCTTCTGTTTTTATTTCGCATGACCGCTGGTTTTCTTTTTTTTTTTTTTTGATGATGATGATGATGGAGGAGGAAAAACCATGTAAAATCCCAGAGCTCCTAACGCCCCCCGCTGTGCTTGTTCCGACGATGGTGTTGGGGTCAAACTGACCTCCATTGATTTCCATGCAATTCACGAACAAATCAACACTATGAAAAATCATGTTAAAACAGAAAACACATCACAATAAATGCATTTACATTAGTTTGCTACATTAGTTAACATGAACTAACAATGAAAAATACCTCTAAAGCATTTGTTAAACTGAATGTGAATTTCAACATTTACTAATACATTATTAAAATCAAAAGTTGTATCTGTTAATATTATTGGTAGCACTTAAGATAGGGAAACACATATTCACTACTAACTAGAGTTTCCCCTCAATAAACTCGTAATCTGCTGCTTATTAATAGTTAGTAAAGTAGCTGTAAAATTTAGATATTGAGTGGATTAAGGGATGTAGAATATGATCATGCAGAAAAAGGCATAAATATGTGCTTTATAAGAACTAATAAACAGCCAGTGTGCTAGTATTTTGCATGCTACTAAGCAACTAGTTAATTGTGAATAGTGTTCCCTAATCTGAAGTGTTACTTTATTGTTTAATTATATGATTTATTTAATAGACCTGAACATGGACTTACAATGAACAGTTTTATGACCTAACGTGAACAAAGATGAAAAAGTAATGTAACAAATGTATCGCTCATTGTTAATGTTAGTCAACACATTAGTTTACTAATTGTATTAGGTTTTAATACAATTAAATTTAAATGTATTAAGTTTACTAATTGGAGCTTACTGTAAAGTGCCACTCAAAACCCTTAATGTAGCTCGTCTCAGACTAAAAAATATAAAATATGTGAGAAATGATTGATTTTTTTACAAATTGCATGGGGAAACCTTTGTAGTCTTTCCAATACGGTGGAAAATTTGCGTGCACATTCATGACCCTGAATAAGAAAAAGTCACAAGATTTCAAGAAGAAATAAATAGCTTAAACAGTGTTTCAAGCAGTTTAATGTGGATCAGTTTGAGCCCAACACAAAAGGAGGGTTAGGAGTCTGTTTCGGTTGTGTATATCTCAGGCTGATTTTCTTTCTGTCGTACTGTAGGCCGTGATGCTGTTTGGCTCCGTGGCGAGTGTCAGTAAGGACACAGAGGAGTAAGTTTCTCAGAAACCTTCTCATCACATTTCTGTACTGTGAGTGAAAGAGTGGTCTGCAGGTGTTTTAAGCGTGTTTGTCTCCCTCTGCAGGCTGTCTGAGTCACTGCTGCAGGGCTTCACCTGCACGTCGGTCCGGACGCTCGCCGAGCCCAAGGTCAAGCAGCTGGTGAAAGCCTGCAGACATCGGCCGGGACGCCAGAAGGTCCAGCTGAAAGAGAGCCAGGTACACACCTTATGTCTGCTCAGTATTTATGTCTGCGTTTGTGGAGTTTTAATGAGTAAGTCTTTAATTGTTGCACTCTAGCTGGTGTGCATGTACAACTACATGAAAGAGGAGGCTTCGCCACGCTTCACAGATTTACCTTCAGACATGCTGCTTTACTACAAGTGAGTAACTACACCATCTGAAACATTCACATGACACATTACATTTATTTGTTTATGTCTTTAACATTATCTATTATGATGATTTATTATTGCTATTCTTTTATTATATTTTATTATGATTTTATCTAAAGTAACTTGCAAAGGAAAATAAGTCAATTATCCAGGGTAGAAAACAAACAAGTATCACTCACTATCGTAGCAAATCTCAGCGGAGCAGAAGAGAATACCTCACAGCTGTTTCACTCTTTCACCGTATTTCCATCACTGAGATAAAATACTTGCTTAGTAGTCCAATATTTGTCATATTTACAAAGAAACATGTGCATGTTGTGCTCTTGGACAACAGACTCCACAAAGAGTGACGGGAATGAGAAATGGTTATTACTGAAGTACACAAATTACTATTAAAAATAAAAATGTTCCCTCTGATTGTCGTTTTATTTCATTCATGGATGATTCACTATTTTGCTTTGTTCCTGATTCCTAACTTCTCTCTTTCAGAGTGTTTCTTTGATTTTCTTGTTTGTGGTCATCTGTTGTTTGGTTTGCCCATCTGTTTGTTTGTTCTTTTGTGGTAATTTGTTAATGTTTGTTTGTGGTTCAGCTATGAGAAGGTGGAAGAGACGAACTGCCGCTCGTATTTCAGTGCCGTGGGTACAGCAGATTATTCTGTTCTTTCCAGCGTCCTTGACAAACAGAAGACTTTGTTCAAGAATGCACAGAGCTGTCTGGTGAGCAGTACACAGACACACACACTTACACTCTCACACTCTCTCTCTCACACACACACACACACACACACGCAGACACACTGATACACACACACTGATACAGACACACACAAACACACACACTCATACACACACACACACACACTCTCTCACACACACACACACACACACACGCAGACACACTGATACACACACACTGATACAGACACACACAAACACACACACTCATACACACACACACACACACTCTCTCACACACACACACACACACACACGCAGACACACTGATACACACACACTGATACAGACACACACAAACACACACACTCATACACACACACACACACACACACACATACACACACATTGATACACACACACACACACAGCATTTCTCTTCCTACCCCCAACTCTAACGTGTGTATGTTGCGTGTGTGTTGCAGGGTATTTCGGGTCAAAGGCTAAGCAAGGATCACGTGGAGGTTCTGGGTAACCTGACCTGCACACTCGACCCCGTCTACATTCAAAACTCTGATCCAGCCATCATTGAGAGCCTGAAGAACTGCCACGATCTGTCCGACGCTCAGATCAGCGCTGTGCAATCGCTGCTGCTCTCAGGAGAAACTGTCTATGGGTGAGAAAAATCATGTTTCTGAATGCAAAAAACACTTAATTCATAGTTCAGTCATTCAAGGAACTCGAGTTCACTGCGACCATTAGAGTCACTGCACCGAACTGCACACAATATAAGACAAACATCAGAAAAGGGTTTATTCTGAGAGTTACTAACAATGAATTAAATAGATATTTTACAATTCGTCTCATACAAACACTTAAATAATGTACTGCAAACTCAAATCAGAGTAAAGCGGTGCATTTATTCCTGTAAGGCTGTCTGCTGTGTGTGAAGCGCTGTATAAATCAGTGAGGTATCGTGAGCAGACGAGTAAGAGTTGTGATGTGTGTTGGGTTTCAGGAGCTCTTCTGCTTGGGATCAGCAGACGCTGGAGCGCCTCGACCTCATGCCGCTGTACTTCACTGACGACTTCTGGAGCCGCTTCAGCGCTGTACAGATGCTTATTCTCTATTGAGCTCATTTGTTCCAGGTGTGTGAACTGCAGCTTTGTTTATGTGTGTGTGTGTGTGTGTGTGTGTGTGTGTGTTCCAGCCTGTGAAGAGGAAGTACATGAAGGTGTTCATGCCGTTTCTGAGGACGAGAAACACGGAGAAGCCGAAACTAAAGAAACTCTTTAGAAACTGCAACGCGGAGTTAGACGCTCGAAGCCGAATCGGACGCTCTACAGGTAAAAAAACACACACACAACGACATATAAGAATGATAATATTACAGTTTTTTTTACAATCGCTAGGACACATTTCTCAATACTAAAAGTCACTTTTTCAGAACTTCTAATCATCTTTCAACTTCAAGTTCATTTCACATTCAAAATGCACTAAAACTACCAAAACACTTCATTAATGTCTCAAATTAACTAATTCATACATAACACTAGCAAAGGTTTTCACCAAACAAACACACTTTATCACTCACAACACAACAACCTAAAAAACACTAACAACAGGCAGCATTATGCATTGTTTTCTTTTGTGAAATGTCTTTACAAAACAAGAATGATACTCTATACTAGGGGTTGAACGACTTCTGATTTTTTTAAATCGACTTTTATGTGATGAAAGTCGAGTCGAAGTCGACTAGTCGCTGATGACGTCATTAATGAACAAATAAGTCTGGAGCTGAGACTCGAACACCTTGTGCACAGCTATGGCAGATGACACAGCGCTGCCCGCATGGCTGTTGCTCCTATAACAGCTTTTTATCAGTTCTTTTGTCTTTGGGTCGTTATATTTCTCACAGATTTCTGCTCGTTCTAAATCAGATACAGATAAAGTAGCACAGTAAAGATTACATTCATATGAATGCATTAGTGAGAGCGATTGCGTGTGTGAATTAATTCTACCTGTCTGTCTACTAGTAGTGAAGCTGTGGGATTTAGTTAAGAAATATATGCTTGAACTTTTCAGTTTCTAAGCTATTTTATTGAGAAATCACAGAACAGTGTTGACAATACATTTCCGCGCTGAATGATTCTGTGCGCGTGATGTACTCGCTACTGTCTGAAGCCTATGTGTGTGCGTTACAGTGCAGCAGCGCATTAGATTAGAACGGCGATTAATTTACCTGTGCAATAAGCTGTTTAAAACGTGCATTCTCCCGTTCAATTTCGAGCATACAGTAATATAATCACACATGTCTTGTGGAGCGCTTTCAGAGTATGCATTTATTTGTCATTTGAACTGTTTGGAAACGGAGCGTAAATGTGGAAGTCCTTCAAAGATTTCTTGTCCTGTTGCGCCCTCTATAGGACCAGCGACTAGTCGACGTCAAGCTTAAAGCGTCATGGCAGAGCATTGAAGTCGACTAGTCGATTAGTCGGTGCAACCCCTACTCTATACTGCTTATAATTCTCTACTGTTCTGAAAAAGTGACCTAAGTATTGAGAAATATGTTCTAGCGATTGCAAAATACTGTAATATACTGCAAGCTGTACACTTTATAATTAAGATATTACGTGTAATTAAATTGATACTACATTATATACTTAAAGAATAATAGCTGCAAGCAGATTGATGGAGCCAATCAGAAATGGATGCATTATTGCATATAACTTTTGACCAGTAGGTTATGCCGGCTTGATATTTGGTATATACTTTAAGAGCATGAAGATGATGATTGGTTTCAAGTTTGGTTTTAACACATCAAATCATTGCAAAGATAAAGCCTGCCATCTACACTATCAGTTTTGGTATTTGATTGGCATTTAACAGGCAAACGGTTTTGAAAATCCGAGATTTTATGTATATAAATAACTGTGGATAAACCCTTGCTAAGGCATATGGAGCTCAGACAATCATAAGAAAATATAGCATGAAGCTCCTTTTGATTATTAGTAGAGTAATAATAATAATAGGAAAACCAGGAAGCCTAAACTGGCCGCTAATAATAGCTGACTTGTAACAGTGAAACTCTGTGACATGAAGAGGAGTGTAGCTGTTACAGGATTGTTTGATGGTGTTGATGTTTGTGTCGGTCAGACTGCACCGCGGGCAACATCACCGAAGCCACGATCGCAGACGCCTCGTTCCCCTTCGGCTACACCGCGGCCCAGTTTGACGCCTGTCTGGCCGTGAGGGTCCTCAGAGATAACCTGGCGGCGGTCACGGAGAAAGTGGACGACAACGATTACCAGAGAATCATTCTGAGCAAGCTGAAGCAGGTGAGCGAGACGTGCAGCTCTGCCGCATGTGGTCTGCCGAGCGTCGCTGTGTAATGCTGATGAACACTGTGTTTCAGGTGTATCCCGCCGGTCTGTCCGACAGCGTGCTGCAGCTGCTCTCCTCTGTTTCACGACAGGCCACGGTGGAGGAGATCAGGACCTGGAACATCACCACCATCGACGCGCTGACAGCACTGATGGACCAAAACAATGGAGAATGGGTCAAAGACAAGGTGTGTGAGAGAGAGAGAGAGAGCGAAAGTGTGTGTGAGAGAGAGAGAAGGGTTAGGATATGTTTTTTTGTTTCTACATGTTATCTTAAGGGTTTTTTCCATTGTTTTAGTTTTAGTATAACATTATAATACCATACATATATTTACTTTTTTATAATTTAAAGAAGAAACCAATCCGATGTATATTTGACATTTGAGGCTTAATACTATAGAAAAGCACGCAATTACAATTTCAAGGGAATAATCGACAATTATGATTTTTGTCATAATCGTGCAGCCCTAATGGTTTGCGAAGTATATGTGGCAACACTTTACGATGAGGTTTTATTTGTTTATATTAGAAACCTATATTAGGTAACATATAATTAAGATGAAGTTAAATGCTTTGGAATGATTTTTCTTTATTAGTTCATGTTAATTCCAACATTCTGCTAAATGCATACATATAAATTATTTAATGGACCTGAGCTGACATCAAGAACAATGAACAGTTGTATTTTTATTAACTACTGTTATCATAGATGAATAAATACTGTAACAAATGTATTGCTAATTGTTAGCTAATGCTCGTTAACACATGAGCTAATGGTAACTATTGGGTGCTTATTGTGAAGTGTTGTCATAAATGTTATTGATTTTGTCATCATTTTGTTTGACATTCTGTAGACATTATAATGAACATAATATATGAAATGTTGGAAGTCAAGAGCGGAGCTAAATAAACGTGTGTGTGTGTGTGTGTGTTGTAGAGTAAGGAGGTGATCCTCAGGTATCTGAGTATGGCCGGTCACACTTTAGGCACTAATGAGCTGAACGTCATCGGCTCCAACATCTGCGCACTGAACATCTCAACACTTCAGAGCATTACAGCAAGAGACCTGAGGCACGACACACACACACACACACATACACACACACACACACACACACACACACACACACACACACACATATTTACCAGTTCACTTCATTCATTCATTCAGTCATTCATGTCTCTCTCTCGTCGTGTGCAGCAATGCAGAAGTTCTGGATCTGTCCCCGTGTTCATATGAGCAGAAATCAGTTCTGTACAGCACTGCCAACTCCTCGTTCAGAGCTCAACGCAGCAACGGCCCTATTTACTTCCATCTCATCAGCCCATACCTCGGTAAAACACACACACATCTCATAGAGGGTTTATGCAGAAGTGATGAAAATGTGTGTGAAATCTAAAACTGCTAGAAAATCAAAGCCATAAAACTAAAGATGTGTCCCAAATTTGAAGTTGATATCTCAAAAATTAGCTTTCAATTGGATTTTGGTTGGGTGCAGTAGTTTAGGGCAAACTCATATCCCTATTTGAACTGAGCAATCTGAACCATACATTTCAGTTTTTACAAATAGTATGGCAGTATTTGATTTTAATTCAATTTTAAACAACATAAAGGACATGTGGATGTGCA